CAAGTTTTACTCCAGCCATCAAGGGTCATGAAGCAAAAGCTCTGAGCACATCTTGCCCCCATCTTGACATTCGCTCCCACGAAATTTTGCAATTCAGTTGATTTTATTTATTTATTTATTTATTTATTTATATTTCAAATTTGTCACCACCCATCTCACTGCGGAGTGATTTGTGTGTATGGCTGTTCAGGTTCTTAAGGATCTCCTTTTTTCCATCTCAAGGTATGAAGAAGAAATCAACCGCCGGCTGGCTGCAGAAAATAATTTTGTACTGCTAAAAAAGGTTAGATATTTCTGGTTCCTCCATCTCAAAAGAGTGCAATTAAAATGATACAACTCTCACTAAATATGTATACACTTGTGAGAGACAGTAATGCCAGATCAGATGGAATGTTGGTTTATTGCAATAAAAATAAAGGCCTGGGAAATTTACCTGAGATTAATATAAGCCACTTTGCATCTTTTTTAGAAAGGCTGCAAACTGATTGATGTCATTCATTCATTCATTCATTCATTCATTCATTCATTCATTCACCCATTCATTCATTCATTCATTCATTCATTCATTCATTCATCATATATATACTTACATTTCAGTGCTCTTCAGTCATTAAACACTGGTAGTATATAGAGTGGAGATCAGGAGACATGCTTCTATCCTATCCCTTCCAGTCAATCTCTCCTTGTTGATGGTGGCATTCTGCTGAATGTGATGAAAGTGTCTCCTACAGAACTTCTCTATCAATTTTGAGAGATCAGCAGCAGAGGGGAACAGGACAAGCACTCCTATCTCCTTGCTTGGATTTCAAATGTTCAGTGCTTGGAAATCATGCTTGTTTTTGTCTTAATAGACTGAGGTCCCAAGGTGACAAAGGCATTTCCAATAACGCAGATGATCAGTGAGATGCCAACCTACTGCAAAGGACAACCATCTAGCCCATACTGACTGAGAAGGCTAGGAATAATGGGACTGATTGTCCAACCTATTGGGAGGGGACCAGACTAGGAAAAAATGCTCTATAGGAAAGCCACAATAATAATGAGGAACTAAAGTTTGATTTGATTGCCCACCATATCCATGTTGTGAGTGGAGAATGTGGAAAAGAACTTTGGGAACACATCATAAAGTGTTTTGAAAAGTGAGTTTCGTTCAGCTAAGATAAATGTGCTTCCCATCATGCCTTTCAGGATATTGACCTTGCCTATACCAGCAAAGTGGATCTAGAAGTGAAAGTGGAAAACCTGAAAAAGGAGCTCAACTTCGCCCAATTTATCTCTGAAACTGTAAGGATTCCCACATAAATGGGTTATTCCTTCTTTCTGCACTGAGAAGATCTATGCTCTTGTGTTATTTTCTTTCTTTATACTTTGTACCAGGAATTGGCCCAAAGGAAGGGGAAAAACTAGTTTCTTTTTCACAACCCAAGGCAGAGGGGTGGAGTAATTCCACCTCTAGTTGCATGTCAGAAGAGTCAAAGGAAAAGAAAGGACTTGGTTTCGCAAGCACATTTTAAACATTGCTGTTATTGCCTTTTCACAAACTTAAAGAACAGCCCCTCCCTTAGCAGAGTTCCCTGGATCCTTGGTAGGGGTACCATTGTTGACCACCATAAATAATGGTAAGCATTAATTATAAACCAAGTCCATATATACAGTTCAAGAATTTACAAATGCCTGCTTCAGGGGAGAGGTGGAATCCTATTCTGCTGGAATCTTTCCAGGTTCATCAGGCCTTATCATTAGGAGAGTGATGTGACCACCTCAGGCGATCTTTTGTGAGAGTAGCAGTGAGGCTCCTGGATACCCTTTCTGAACATTGTGACTGTTCTTCCCAGTTTGTGAATATAGTTAGGGATGTCCCATGGCCTGATATGGCCCCTAAAACATTTCTGCACCACTGCTGAAGTAGGCTGCAGGTCCTGCAAATCAAACCAACAGTCCTAGAAACGATGAATGGGGCCATCCTTGCAGCAGGCTTCTCTGGAGTCTTGGGGAGGGGGTTAAAAAGGTGAGGAAAAGGTGTAGCTAATAAATAGATCATGTGCTCAAAGAAGAAGATGTGAACCTTTCTAACATGCCTTCTTCTATTAGGATGGGAGTCTCCTGCATTATTCAGAGTACTTGCAAAAGCTCTTGCAACTTCTTCTTGACAGGAAGTAGAAAGTTTACAGTCGGCAAGTGCAGAAACCAATGTTATTGTGTCAATGGACAACAGTCGAGTCCTTGACATGGAAGGAATAATACACTCAGTGAGATGTCAATATGAAGAGATTGCCCAGAAGAGCAAGGATGAGGTCAATGCTCTGTATGAAAACAAGGTAGGCTTGGCTTAACTTGCTTTCCATAGAGGGAAATGAGTGTTTTCATGACTACTGAAGTTTAATAGTAAAATCCAAAGTTACAAAGTGACAACAAACAAATGAGAATTGGTTTTCTCCTATATTTCAGTACAAAGAGCTGCAGAACACATGGGGAGATTATTGCAACAATCTCAGCAGTGGCCGTCATGAAATCCAAGACCTCACCCGTCTGATCCAGAGATACAGAGGTGAAATAGAAAATACCAAAAAACAGGTAAAGAAGCTTATGTAAGTCAGGGATAGGCAAAATGTGTTCTGCCAGATGCTATTGAACTCCAACTCCCACATGTCCTTGTCAGTAGGGCTGATGTTGCAATGTGAAAACAAGAGAAGTCCAACATCTGGAGGATCATCCATTACCCACTTCTGCCCTAAATGCACAGGGAACATCCTCTAAGAGCGTTGAATGTCCCCAGAGTCTCTCCAAAACTTACCACCAATTTGTCATTTTTAATATGGCAGAAAGGGCAAATTATAAATGACATGGGGACTAAGCAGATTCAATGAATAATTAAATTTCACTTCAAGTGCATTTGACCTGTACTGTCATTTTCTTCTTGGACTGTGATCCTTGGGGTGCCATCCAAAGGTCAGCTGCACCCTCCTCCCCAGAAGAGTTGCATACAAGATTAAGGATCACTGAATTTCAGAAATCTGATTGATTGGTTTAGAAAAAGAACATACTTGCATATTTTTTTCCAGTCATTTTGTGTCTCTGTGTTTAACTCTCCCTTTTCCTCTTCAAACCTCCTCTCCATTTCCTGCCGAGGAAGCTCTATGTCCCAAGTTCATTCTATTTTGGTCTGACTCTTTTCAAGATTGAGGCGTTACAGACGTCTGTTGCTGACAACGAGCAGCAGGGGGAGAGTGCTTTGAAAGATGCCAAGTCAAAGCTTATTGAAGTGGAGAATAACCTGCAGGGTGCGAAAGATGAACTGGCTCGCCTGCTGAGAGATTACCAGAACTTGATGAATGTCAAGCTTGCTCTGGATATTGAGATTGCAATGTATAAGTCACTTCTGGAAGGAGAAGAGAGCAGGTAAGCGGGCTAAAACACCAAACAGCAAAAAACCCCAAACCACTCAGCTACAGATTGCTAATGCTCTTGTTGCAAGGCCACCTGATCATATTCCGGGAATGCAATATACTGTAAGAAAAATGCTGAATGAATCAGCTAATACTTCACATATAGAATGAACTGCTATATAAATTACTTTGACTGTTTATGGCCAATTCTTCACCCTTAATAAACTCTAGACTGTGGTCAAAGGGAATAAAAAATACAGGACAAACTAATATACAACATTTGCCTTTGAATCCATCAGCTCCCCTAGGATCACAGTTCAAAAGTGAGCTGGGAAAATATTTAAACATTTGAAACTGAAACTTGAAACTGAAATAGTGTCAGATTTTCAAAGTTATATATCATCCATCTCCTTTGTGAGTGCTGATATCGGGATGCAGAACTAGCTTCTTGGGACATTAATAATTATATGTTCTCTTTTCTCTGCAGGATATCTAATGCTCCTCCTGTTAACATATGTAAGTACTTTAAAAAGCACACCCTATATTATCATGAACAAGGCCAGGTTTTTCTTTGTCTGATGCCCTAGATACATGTAATAACAAAGAATGTTATTCTGCATTGTTTCCTTTCTCCTGTTCGTATAGCTGTTGTAGGTTATCCCAACAACTCTGTAGCTGGTGGACGCACTTATGGTGGGACAGTTGGAGGAACTGGATTTGGAAGGAGAGGTATACAAGGCCCTGGACAAGGTTACACCCAAAGAAACACCACCAGCAGCGGAAGATCCAGCTCTAGAAGTGGAAAACTTGGCAGCAAAACTGAATCTAGCTCTAGAAGTGGGAATAATCTTTCTGGGTTTGGGCAATATACAACCACTACTGTAGTCCCATCTGCTTCTAAGAATTCTGATCCAGCAAAAGTAGGAGGTTCTGGAGGTGGAGCTTATAATTCTAAGAGTAGAGGACACAGCAGCAAAACTGGGGGTCACAATGCAAGCATGACACATATTTCCACAGCTACTGGGGTTCGTAGCACAGGTCCCTCTGGGGGGATCTCTATGAGTGGCAGCTACAACATCCAGAGCACTGGAGGATACACAGGGGATGATTACGGTGGTCTTTATTAGAGCGTGGCACAAATGACGTCTCCAAATTCTCCACTTCTTTTTGAGCAAAACAATAAAAACCCTAAAAATTAAATGAGGGAGGGAAAATTTCACTAAATTTCTGCAGGGGAAAATCTTCCACTAAGTTCCCCACGTAAGAATAATCCTTAGCGGTGACAGTAGCACAGCTTTTCCAGTTTGCTCCTGAAGCTCTTTGTTTCTTTGTTTTTTCCTGTCACTGCAGGGGATGGGATCAGTAGTTGCATTGCTAGCCCCCTCCTCTTTTTGCAAGCTCCACATGCCCTGGACCTTGGATGTCTTTGTGTGTGTGAACCACCTAGAATGATAAGAAGTCAATTGACCAGGTTTGGAAAAACATTTTGTGTAGGGTAGAAACAGGGATGGGGAAGGAGAGGGAAGACTTTCCAAATGAGTAGAGCCCTTCAGTGGACATTCTAAGGGATGAGTCCAAGAGCAGCAGATGTTTTCCCCAAATATTTCCTAGCTACTAAAAGAAGCCTCATTCACTCACTCCCTTGCCCCCAAATAAACATCAGAAGCTTAGCTTCCTTTCTGCCCAGGAAGTGGGCTGGGTAAAACCATATTTAGGAATGTGCCTTTCCTGATACATGTGTCTTGGACAGGAGTAGAACGCTAGCCTGGTAAGCAGACAGGAAGTTTTGGTCTAATCCAAGAAGAACCTGGCCAATTTTCAAAGCAGGTTTTAAAATATGAATCACTGACAGTTGGAGAGTTTTTGAATGCCTTGAGGGAAAATAGGTACTCCACCATTGAACAAGATTTGACCTATACTGACAGGCTATGGGTCAGAAAAATCAGTAGGGAGAAGGGTCTGCTGTGGAACTGAATGACAGATCTTTGGGCATGGGACGTCACTACTGAAATGGTCTCTTGATCTGAAGAGATTTGTGAAAAGATTTGTCTCACAACACAACAAGCAGATTAGCTTTGTTAGTGATGCAAGTTAACAAGCCTTAATTAACTTTCAAACATTTAATGTATAGCAAGAACTTCATGCCATTTCTTTGCTCCCCCCAGTTAGTATTACAGTCACCTGTTCTGAAGTGGTCTGGCCACAATACAGATGTATCTCCTGTGAGAACACACAGGAAATTGAAATGAAGGCTTCCCAGATGTTGGTCAGAGGGCCCTGGATATGTACCCCCAGTGGATTCAACCAGGGTATTAAGGCCCCATCGGTTGCCTGAGGATGTCAGTTGCTGATGACACATGGTATTCCTGTCACCTTTTATTGGAGAACTTCAGGAACAAAATTTTAATCATTCTGGAGGAATTTGAACCAGTCTGCAATGAAGGAGTTTGGGTCTTCTGCCTATGGCATTTATCACAATAAGGGAAACCCTCTCATGGCAATGCTGTTAAATTGTGAATAGCTCAACTATTAGGGTATTCAGGAAAGAATCCTGAGAAAATTTGGAGAAGAGGCTGACTTCTTCTTCCTACCCCAAACACCTCTGTTCTACAGTTCAAACTGGTCTCCTCATCATTCACACTTTCCAGGGATCCCTTGAAATTGTAATACTGTGAGAAAGAGTTAAAGTTTTCTCTCTAGCACAGAAATTGTCCAATATTCCTTGGATGGTATATTCCCAGGATTCCTATACAGCAGTTCAGGCTGTTCAAACATGCAACTTTCTAGTGGAGCTACGTGTTGCATTTCTTTGCTGTAACTCAGAAGATACTTTCTTAGGAGCTGCAGTTACTGAGAATGTCAACAAATGGTACAAAATTAACATCTAAATTACACTTCAAATTTCTGATCCTGTGCTCATGGAAGAAAAGGTGACACACGACTCTTTTCCAAGTATCTGCCATCACTTCTAGAAAAAAAAAATCCTCCTATTTTCTTTGTCTTGCATGTTTCATGTAATATTTTTTCCAAGTGAGACAGCATTTCACTCTTTAGTTGTAAAACATTTGAAGTGTCCAGGAATGAATGTCTAAAATGCAGAAGACACCACCTCTGATGGTGTCACTGAACAGTGAGAAGAAGACAGAAAGTGGCTTCCTACATTTGGAATGAATGTGTACGATGCATCTCAGACTTGATTTTGCTTTTAAATGCTACATATCTGAACAATTAGATAAATCTCAATATATTACACTTTTCCATACAGAAAGCAATACTTGCAAGTGAGGTTTATACCTGAGGTTCTCGGGCCACAGAATTCAAGACACTGGCCTATTTTGAGAAGCAGTGCCTTTCTACTGGATGGAAATAGTTATTGAAGTATCTATTCAATGACCAGTTCTGCTGAATCTGTTGGCATGAAAAACCCTTTGTTATTAGGTATTAAGCCTAACAGAGCCTTAGTGCATCTCTATTTATCTCTCTTATGCTAAAAAAAAGTTTATAAAAAGTCATTCTGGGACATTTTGCTAGCTTTCACTGCAGTAATCCTATGGGGGGATGGTGGCTGCAGAAATGGGCCTGGATACTATGCAGAGCTATATAGTAAAACCAGAGTTCTTTGTATTAAGAACTCAAGAGAAAGCAAACAGAATGTGGGTGATTATGCGGTAGAGCTTCTGAAAATGAAAGTGCAAAGATCAGTTGTGTGTGCCCTGTTGCCTTTCATCTGTTTAGGTTTAGATGACAGGGTTGATTTTAAGGATCTAGGTTGAGTAAAAGTATTCTGAGCAGATGATTCTGGGGACAAGAGCAGATCATTCTGGGGAAAGAATTATCTGCTCTTGTTTCTACAGAGATATAGGTGTGTATTGTGTTAGCAACCCCTTTTTCCTCATGTTGTTATTGTTTATTTCCAAATTGTCTTCAGCCACTTCCTGTCCTTTTTCATGCTAGTTAGTGATATGCATCAACACCTCGATGCGCTGATGAAATTACAGTGCAGAAAGAAATCTTGATTGGTTGAAGAGTTTAAGTATATTCTGCTCATAAACATGTGGCCCTCCTTTTCTGCTGCATGCAAGTTAGAGGTGGTCTGCATTTAAAAGAAACAGTCCTGCCACTGCCTGAACCGGCCAAGATGGTCATAATCTCCATTACATGTTGGGATGATGAAGGCAACTGTTACTCTTTGCTTGAGAATGTGTTTTTCTCCAATAATTCATTCTGTGCAATATTTACCTAAATAAATAAAAAATTCTTCTTGCCTTTCTGAACCAATTGCTCTTTCTGGCTTTAAGATTTTTTTATAAGCATTCATAATTGGATATTGGATCAAGGTCAGGATAGAGTAAATAGCAATAGTAAAAAGACTTTCCAGTCAAAGCATCATTCATTTCTCAGACTATGTATGAAATATGCATTGCTGAAAGTTTTTGTACAACTACACTTGTATTGCGCTTTGTGAATAAAGTTGAGGGTTTTTTTGTTTTTAGAAATGGGAAACGGCACCCAAATAATTTACATCAGTAAATAAATAACTTGGTGTACATGTCAAAATACATGCTTTTGAAAACGTTGTGAAGCAACTTGTACCTTAGAAAATTGTGCTTGAAATTGTGTATACTGTGGGAAAGAGGCACCGTGTGTGCATAACAAAGAAAAATATACACCATACTGCAGTGTCCCATGTGAAGTGTTGCAAAAAGGATGCACACAAGTAAAGTGTGTACAAAAATTCATATGAATGAAAAATGAAACAGCTTTGGAACAAGCTGGTTCTAGACTCCCTGCATCTAACACAAGCTTGGTGTGGTAATTAGAAGCCCATTCACAACTCCATGATCCTGATGTGTTTGTGCAAATTGTGACTTCAGTATCAACAAACAAGCCAAAGAAAACGTTGAGCAACTGTGCAACAGCTAGCAACAACTAGCACCACCTGGTGGGAAAGGGGAGACCCAAATAGTTAACTTACAGAAAAATGATTTAAACGAAGGAGCAACGTCTCAGACATATTCCTCTCTTGTTTGCAAAAGTCTGGATCTGAATTTGCTTTTTCTTTTCAAACCTACCACTTACATTTTTCTGTTCCTTTGATTTTTTTTATTCACTTTTATAACGCTTGTAAACCTTTTCCCTATCTACTTTTTTGCTTTTCCTACCTTTCTTTCTGTCTTTTTTTCTTGATTATGTTTGTAAATATTTAGTAAAGTAAAAAAAATGAATTGTATTCTTTTGTTAAGACAGTTCCTTATGGATCAGTACAAGATTTCTTCTCCTCTCCACTACTAGTGTTCATCTTCTTGCTACAAATTCTGGGAATTGTCCATACTTCTTCAGACCCCCTTCTGCTCCACTCTCCTTCTCCTTCTCCTCCTCCTCCTCCACCTCCTCCTCTTACTCCTCCTCTTCCTCTTCCTCTTCCTCTTCCTCTTCCTCTTCCTCTTCC